CAGAAGAGAAGAATGGATGAGTAATTGACTTTGCGCAGGCTTGAGAAAAAGCCTGGCAAGATGTCCAGAAGAGAAACGGGTGAGAAATTGACGTTGCATGAGCTTGAGAAAAGGCGTGGCAAGCGATTTGTGTGATTGATTTGGCATAAGCTTGAAAATGGGTCGAGCCAGACGTCTGGAAAAGAAAAAACTCGTATGATGGACTATGTATGGATCTGAGAGAAAGACTGGAAGGCTGGGAAACAGATCAGTATTTGGTTTGCATGAGTCTGAGAAAAAGGTCTGACAAGGTGTCTGAAAGAAAGATGCACAAGGGATGAATTGGGCAGCATGCATGAAAAAGTTAAAAATAAGCAAGGAACAAGAAAGGACAAAGAGTGATATGAATGCAAAATTGGCAAGACCTGAGGAGAGTCGGGCGAAAGGACCCGGGGGAGATGCATGTGGATTTGGCAAGGCCTGAGCGTCGGGGAAGGGTAAAGGGAAAACATGGATTGCACGGGCCGAAAAGTAGATTATTTTTTTTGATGACTCTAAGAGTAATGAATGAGACAAATCCAAAATGTTTTATCAATGAAATGGGAAGATAGATTTGAGATTACGAAGCACTTAGGGGGAGTTGTGCCTGAGCTCACTAATTCGAAGTGGGTATCACCACAGCAAAGCTGGCGGTTGTACTGGACGAGCATCTCCCTTCCGGAGCAAATGCCTGACATTAAGTCGCATCCGAAAACTTGCCTACAATTTGTTATCAACAAAGCCAAAGCATAAAATGAGAAAACCAATTGTGTTATGACAACAAATTGGCATCTTGGGAATACAGCCAGCATACCAGTAGTTAAGTGCATAAAGCGAGGAGAGTCCCGCCTGCTTCATGTTACTGAAGTTGAAAGAATTATGGGCTGCCCTGCTGGGTATACAGAGTTGACTCAAGAGGAAGTTTGCATCTCAATTGAGGGAAAGATAAAAGAGGGAGAGCTATGACGGAAATGAGCAACCTGGTCTAAGCTGTAGAACCTTCGACTCCCCCATACCCTCCTTCACCCCAAGGGACGGAAGCTAAGGAAAACTTTGAGAAAGGAATGGGAAAAGAACAAAACGGACCCTGGCAAACTAACCACCCATAACATCTCATCCTCCTCTCCCGTCTATCCTTCCAAAATCCACTAACAAGAGATTGGTGCGCGATGAGGACATTGCGAATGAGTGGGGGGAATGTGTTGAGACTGGTGGGTCCCGAATAACTTCCCATCACTCGAGAGATTGAATACAAACAATTTGTGCACAACAGAGAAATGTGGAGTGAGGAAGCAGGAGAGAGAAAAGACGAAGGATTAGGCCGCAGAAGGGAGTGATGCCCTGAGGAGAGAACCACAGGAGGAAAGAACTAGTGACGACAAGAAAGCGAGCGCAAGAACAGGGGCATATAGAACATAGCAGGAGGCCGGGAGGGCCATCGAAATGCAACAAGACTAAAGCCAAAGGACCCTTTGAACTAGCAATTGCAGCGCGACAGCAATAAGGGAATGAGGAAGTCGAGAGACGGGCGACCAGAAGCCGCGGTAATCCAGGAAATGAGGGGTCAACGTGGGGCCACCTACCGGAGCCTCGGAGCGGAGGCCCACGACCAAAGAGATCGGCACGCACAAGGCGCGAGGAAAGACTAAGGAGAGGGGTCGCTATGGGGCGACAAGACGCCCAAGGGGCATGGGACACCCCGGGGCAATATGAGACTAAGTAAAAATAATGACATCCGGGGCGAAATGTGTCGGGGACCACCGGCGGGACTAAGTATCAGGGACCACCGATGGGACTAAGTGTCGGGGACCACCGACGGGACAAGTGGCGGGGACATGTGAAAGTCCTAAGAAAAAATGGCGGCACCGCATGAGGGAAAAATAATAAATGCAAGGTGCACCGTCAAGATCAACATCTTGACGGCCAAGAATATTAGCACCACTAGTGCAAGTACTAGTGGTGATAAATGGGAAAGTCAAAAGGAAAAGGAAAAGTAAAGAAAACTGAAGAGGGAGACTTGGGAGCAATCCGAAAAATCTCGGATCAGCCTCCTTCAAGAAAATAGAGTCAAATAAGACCCGATGTGAAAAATAGCCCTCCGGGAGAAAATCGGAGTAGGAGGGACCATTGTCGGAGAAATGTAGGAGTAAAAGGAGGCTCCCATGGGCATAGGAAGGCCAGTATTGCAGCTCGAGAAATAACGGACTGCACCTTGGGCATAGGGAGGGCCAAAACTAAGAGGAAGAGGCTAAAAAAGGGCCTTAACGGCCACTTGACACTTGGCATGATAGAAAAAAGAGAGAAAAGAAAAGAAAATGGGGGATAATAAGACAAAAAGAGAGAGGGAGTGATTGAGTTGGCCGTCAGTAGGGCCTGCCATAGGTAGGGACTGGCAGGTCCCTATTGTCCAAGAAAGGAGGAGAAAAGAAAAGAAAAGAAAAGAAAAGAGAAAAAAGACCTTAACGGTAAAAAACGGTCACTTGGGCAGATTCATCCGTGACCACATTCATTCTGGAATATGGCGGTTACAAAGGACTTTGATTTTCTTTGATTTTTGCAGAGAAAATCACAGAAAATCAAGGCCTCTTGCAACTGAAATAAAATGGAATACATGCATGAGGAGAAACACATGTTTTAGGTGCATCCGGAGCCAAAATCAAGGCCGGATGCACTTGGGAATTGCCCGTTTCTTTTTCTTTTGAGTAGGGGCTAGTTGTGGGGCATTGGGGCTAAGGAATTGACCCCCATTGCAGTCCGAGTTGCAACGGACTGCATGGGNTAGGGGCTAGTTGTGGGGCATTGGGGCTAAGGAATTGACCCCCATTGCAGTCCGAGTTGCAACGGACTGCATGGGGGAGAGAAAACACATGTTCTTGGTGCATCCAGAGCCAATATTGAGCTCGAATGCACTAGAAAATTTAACGCTGCATTTTCTTTTAACATGGGGCAAGATGAGGAGGGGCTGTGGGTGTAGAAAACAACCATGACTGCAGTCCGAGAAATTACGGACGGCATAGGGATGCTAAGGCCAAACGGGAATGGGCTACGACAAGCCTGGAAGGCTAGAAAGGAGCAATTTCGGCAAGGGGCAAGTAAAGACGGTAAACGGCAACCGTAAGATGAGATCCCACGGCCTAGAAAAATCGGCACAAATGGAGAAATGATGGAACCACCAAGGGCAATAGGCCCCAAAAAAATAAAAATGGGACGCCGTCCGGAATTTTGTCGGGGACCTAATGGGTCCAAATAATAAAAGTCGGAAAACGGGACACGAGCCGGCGGGACCGCCGGCGGGACAAAGAAATGGAGCTAGCGTGTAGGAAAATGGCGGGGACTTGGGATGTTCCAAGGCCACCATGAGCAAACACAAGGAATAATTGTACAAGCAAGCGGCACCGTCGAGATCGAGGATCTAGACGGTGGAAAATATTAGCACCACTAGTGCAAGCACTAGTGGGAGCAAGTGAGAGAGTCATGGGAGAAAGAAAAGTGAAATAAGGACGTTGGGAAGACTGCCCAGCGATCCGGAATATCTCGGACTAGCAAGGCATAAGAAGATAGAGCCTTGAGAAGCTCAACATGTGAAAAAGGCTGCCGTTAGAAAATCGGAGCAAGAGGGGCTCAAAATTGGGCAAACGGGAGCAAAATGGAGCCCCCTAAGAGCATGGGGGTGCCATTATTGGAATCCAAGATGTAACGGTCATGTAACAGCCATGAACCTGGCCTTGAATGAGGCCCTAGGGCCTAGAAAGAGGGTGCACTGCAGTTTGACACTTGTCACAACAGAAATAAAAGAAAAAGAAAGAAAAATGAGAGAAAAATGAGGGAGAATGAGACAAAAAGGAAGAAAAGAGTGGAGGAGAGTGTGCCAGCTTATTGGGACCTGCACAGTAGGGACTGGCAGGTCCCAACAGTGACCTCATCCCTCCTAAAATGAGGGAGGGCAATCCGGATTGCAGATATCTCAATAAAATTTGAATCAAAAAGTTGAAAATGAGAGAAAATGCAAAAAGGAAGTGCCCGGTTTTCTTTTGGGCCATGGATCTGAGATTAAATCTCATGGTAGAGAGGAACTAGCTGTTTTTTGTGGGCCAGCTCAAAACGGCTAGCTCCGGAATGAGTTGGCAGCCTAAAATGGAAAGAAACAAAAGAGGAAAAAATGCCAAAACTGTGCATTTGGCCCAAAAAGAGAGTCAGATGCACAAAAAATTGAAAAACTGGATTTAGGGGCTCAAAATTGAAGCAAGGGCTACTAGGGGGTAGGATCTCAGCCAGATCCAAGGCTGAAAATATGCCGCCATGTGTAAAAATGCTCTGGCCTACTCAAAAGAGCCCGAAATTTGAAAAAATCGAGAAAAAGGTTCGCAAGGCCTTTTTCTTTCAAGTATTGCTGCCCCTTGGGCATTAGGACCCTAAGGGCTAGCATTTGAGCAATGAAAAAGATGCCGGGGTAGGCCAAGAGGCAGTCCGAGTTGGTACCAACCCCACCCGCTTTGCGATCCTGTAGGGGCCTTTCAACCTTTTCCCCAGCTGTCCGGACCACGTGCTTTCAAGTGTCGAGTTCCTAAGTAGTACCATTTCCCCCACCTGGAGCGGCTCCTTCCGGATATTCTTGACCTGGTCCCATTTTGCGTTGTCCCTCATTCGGTTGTCCATCACACGCTTAACCACATCCTTCAAAGCTTCCTCGTTTCTAACGACGTGTTGGCAACGTGCAACGATCAGTTCCTCCGTGGACATGTGCGGATTGTCATCTATCCTGTTCCAAGAAGGAACCAAAGATTCCACCGGGAAATCGATCTCTCTCCCATACCAGAGTTCTGTCGGAATGCATTTCGTTGTCCTCTTTGGCATCATGTTCTCTAAGAAGGCGGCTTGCGTAAGGGACCGAGGCCAGTTCCCCAGGTCATCGACCGCCAACTTAGCGATTGTGTTTTTCAAGGTCCGGTGCCCCCTTTCTACTGGTGCATTGGCCTCAGGGTGATATGGTTCAACGATCTTGATAGGCACGCACAACGTTTTGAGCCTGCTTAGCACTTCGTGAGTTACAAATTTCGTCCCATTATCCGCTATGAACCTCCGCACAAAGGGGTGCCTTATTTAGAAGTCCTCTATCCAGTCGGCCACTCCCTTCCCCATCTTTCTCTTAAGAGCTACTGCCTCCACATAACCACTGAGGTTATCCGTTGCATCCAAGATGTACCTATATCCATCCGTTGATACAGGCATGACCGCAAGGTCAAGGTGGACCAGGTGCCCCGGCCCCAGTACCCGGGTAGGTCTAAGGGGCTCGAAGATACGTGCGGAACTCCTTTCCTGGCATATCAGACACGTTTGACAGTACGTCGCCACCATGCCTTCCATACCCGGCCAAAAATAAAGAGGCGCAATTTTCGCAAGTGTCCCTTTGGACGAACGGTGCCGTCCGGCTAGCCCATCATGCATCGCCTGGATTATGTCCAACTGCCTAGACCTCCCGCACACGACTCGCCTAGGCATCATTCCGTCTTCTTTCTTGAACAGGTGACCGCTCCTCAAAACATACTTCTCGGCTTCCTCCCTTGCCTTGAGGCTGACTTCCATAGGCTGCCTGTTTCCTATAAGCAGCAGACCGATTTCTCTAAAGATGCCATCATACATCTGTATAAGGAAGAATTCTCGTTCCTTCTGATCGGTGTCTTGCTCCTCCTGAGCCTAATTCACTAGATACTGCCGCTCTCTTCGCGTCCAAGTTTCTACTAGATTCATCACAACATCCTGACCCCTTTCAACGACCATTGCCATCAGCTCTTCCTTTGGCCCCATCGTTGCTCCCCACAAATCCTTCTCATCCTTGCGTCTAAACGTGACGGCTGGTCCTTCCCTGAGTTCCGCAACTATGGCGGGCGCGCCCTTTTCTAGGGTCTGAATCAGCAGTTGGTCCATTGTAGGAGCGGTGCCTGCCATCTCATTATCTACGACAAGGGTCCCCCCTTAGTATTCTAAGAAGGCGTCGATCGGTTCCGCATCCTCTACTCCCTCTGGCATAATGCAAACCCGACTTAGCCCGTCTGCCCTATTTCGGAGCCGCGCAATTCGCTCGACCTTGTAGTCGAATTGCTATATGAAGCTTATCCATCTCCCAACGGTCGGGTCTATAGGCTTGTAGTTCTTTAATGCCCCGGCGACATTGGTCGGATCGATTCTCAGGATAAACCGTCTGCCGAATAGGTATGCCTGAAAAGTCTTAAGGCAATGTAGAATGGCTAAGACCTCTTTCTTGAATTGTGAGTACCGCCGCTCTGCCGAATTTAGGGTCCTGCTCTCAAATCTGATAGGCCTCTCCTTACCTTCCTCGCTCCTCTGTATCAGGACTCCACCTACTGCCAAAGGTCTTCCGTCTGTTTCCAAGATAAAGGGTCGTCCTACTTCATCATTGAAGCAGGGTGAGGCCAAGGTGACTTGGCCGGAAGACAAGACGTCTTTGAGGGTCTGGACTGCCGCCTCCCTATCCTCAGTCCACTCCATGGTCCCTCCTTCCCTAATCATTGTGCGGATAGGTTCAACTATCTTGGCAAAACCTTTGATAAAAATTCTCCAGAATCCAACCACCCTTAGGAAGGCTCGTACTTCCGTCGTGGTGTGCAGCGGTGTTGGCCATTGAGAGATCTTATCCATTTTTGCCGGGTCAAGTTTCCTTCCATAGGCCCCACAACGAAACCCCAGTATGGTCACTTCTGGGACTGTCGGGATGCCTTTAGGTCCGCTTGCGGTAATATTATATACCAGGAACCGCTGAAGTAGGTCCTTGATATCCTGTAGGTGATCCCAAACGAACTTTTGTATGCCCGGTTGGACCTCTGTCTCATCCTTGTTCTGCGCGCCTTTTATGGGATTATCGTCTATGTAGGGCTCGCATTTTTCCGGGAACATGTCCCCTGTGATCGCAAGCATCCTCCTCTGTGCCTCCGCCACAGCATTTGTGAAGCCCATAGAAGTCACTTGCATTTGCAGCTGACCTACAGGGGTGTGCATGACGGTGTATGGTCTATCCCTCGCGTCGAGCGGTAGTTGGTCATATCCTAAATATAGGTCTATCAAGGAGTAGATGCCTCGTCCGGCGCGAGACTCTGCCAGTAGGTCGGCCTGTGGAAGTGATCCCGCATCCCGGATCGTAATCGCATTCAACTTCTGCAAGTCCTGGATCCATCTGAGCGATTTGTTGGGCTTCCGAAAACCGAACCACTTGTTCGCGTAGGGGGATGCGGTGGGTTCGGCCACGAACGAATCTATCTTGGCTCTTAGCAATTCAGTGACTTCCGCGGCTATTCCGAACTCGTAGGTGGGCCCCTTGTCATTCCAGCATTCGTGTTCCACCGTGTGGATCCTAACGGGGGAAATTAGCTTCGCATCCAATCGACCTTTCTGGTGGTCATTGAAGGCGAAGGCTAAATGAAATTCCTGACACGCTTTCCTTATCAGTTGGGTTTCCTCCACCGCTAGGAACCCGTCTACCCCTATCTTCATGGTGTCCGCTACCTCATCAGGTATCCGATGCCCTTCCGTTGCTCGCCTTTCCCTTATTACCCGCAGGATTTCTTCCTCTTTTTCCATGGCCTCTTCCCTTGATGTTTCCACTAGGATCGAGATCGGCTTGGCTTTCTTCCCTACGGGTTTGTACTTTCGCACACTCCCTTCCGGGATCGTTTTCCTAAAAAATGAACGGTCGGGACCGACCTTGCTATGCGGGGCTGGATACTGACTAACTTCCCATTCAGACAGTAGCCCTTTCGGACCTCCTCTTCGAATTTGGCAAGCGCTGCCGTGTCCACTCCTACTTTGTGGTACTTGATAGCCTTAACGAGTTGTAACAAGTCTGGAATTTCAAGTACTACCTCCGACGTTTCCTTCCGGTCTTCCTTTGATTTGGGCAGGCTGGCCCCAAGCTCGACTTCCGCCTCCTTCTCTGCCACCATAACCCCTAGCACCTCATCCTCTTGCCTTCTTTTCTTCAGAGATAGGCCCATCTTGATCCACTCCTTCTTGCTAAAAGCCTACTCTTTCCCTCATACCTTCCATCCGTGCGAATGCCCTCTTTCGCGCACTCTCCTCGAACGTTGGCGACCAGGTTGCCAACTTACCCTTCGGAGGATCCCCTCCGGTCCCAAGGAGCCGGAGGAGTTCTCCGCGGCCGGTCACGGGGTCCTCTATATCCACCATGTACGTGCCATCATGTAGGTGCATGCCTATCATTTCTACGCTGGCACACCATGGTCTCCCAAGAATTATGTCATGGTCCATTTATTCCATTACGGTCATTCGCTGAAAAAAACATATTGATTTACTGACTCCTGCCTTGACTGCGCATTTCGTGACATATCCTGCAAAGGGAATTTCCCTGCCGGCTCCCCGGATACTCCCCGTCACTTCCTTGTTTACCGTACAACCCGTAATTGTTATGAAGTCTCGTCGTATGAGGGTAATTTCCGCACCACCGTCCACTAATGCATCTGTATAGTGGGTTCCGATCTGGACTTTCAACTTTCGTACGGGCAATGCATGGAAGCTAAGCTTCGTCCCGGGTGGTGCCCTCATGACTTCACCGCCCTCTCGGTCCGGTAGGCTTAGACAGATATCTGCAAAGGCTTTTTCTAGGTCCTCTAGATCCCCTGGAACCCTCTGGAGGTTGGAGACCCCTTATGGTGCCTCAACCTCTTCCGTTTCCTGCTCCTTTGTTTCCGGGGCCTCCTCTACCTCTACGCGTCGGCGCGTTAGTAATTATCTGAGTCCCTTAAGCAGTCTCGGGCTTGCTTGCAACATGGTCTGGAAAGATACAGATACCATGATACCTAGCAATTTGCTCAGGGTGTTGTCGATTTCTGGCGAGGTCAAGATCGGGATTTGATACCTGAATTTCTTCTTAACCGCCACTGCTTTGTCTATCGGCTCCTCTTCCCTTGTCTTTCTATAGACCTTCTCCTGTTCCCTGGTCTCAGTTTCGCCTTGATCTGCACTGGTCCCCGCGACCTCTTCCATTACTGTATCTTGAATAAGTTTCTTCTCCGCGCCTGTCCGCCGGGTGGTGATATTCACCCTATCCTGCCCATTGCCTTCTATGATGAAATTGACCTGTGGTCCGCGTCCCCTCGGTTGGTCCCAAACAATGTCAGCTACCGGCTCGGCTTCTATGGCAGCTATATCCAGATTATTTAGGATGATGACGACACGCCGCATCCCTCCTGGCGAATTCCAGTTTATGCGCTCTCCTTGAGGCCCGAAAATTTCACCTTTGAGGGACCCGCTGCATCTCTGCCTCATGATATCATGGTTGAGTCTTTGGCAGGTCCGTACGAAATGTCCGACCATTGTGCAATGCTTGCATTGCTCATTGGTCGGATCCCTTCCGTACCCTCGATTTGCTACTGCCGTCGAAACTACGGTTTCTTGAGGCGGGAGGGCGGGTCGGGACACCTGCGCCTGCATTACTAATAGCACATTTTCTACTCTTTCTATCTTGTTATCAACCCCATGCACCCGTTCGTGCAGGCTCTCTATCCCCTTCTTGACCTTGTCCCCCGTCTTCCCAGTCAAGTCGATAACCTCGCCTTCCTTGAGCAGGGCTAGTGTCTCGGTCACTACTGTCTTTTCTGCGAGGTCTGTTACCGTGCTGAAATCCACATCCCTTGTGTACTCGAACTTACTAGTCTGCTGGTAGGCGGACAAAATCTTACCCTTGTCGAACTCGGAGAACTGCCTGAGGAAATACTTACTCATTATACGGTCTGTTACCCCGGGAATTCGTAGCGCCACTAGGGTAAACGCCCTCAGGAAGTCATTGTAAGTCGCATAGTTCTTCCTCTGGACCGCCGCCAATTCGGCTTCTGTTGCCATTTTCTCTGCCTTCAGGTACTTCCTCATCATCTCGTTCCGGGTTTCTTTCCAGGATCCACTAGAAGCGACAATAGCCATAATGTCCCTTCCTAAGCTCAGCGACACGTGCTGTCCTAAGTGATCCATCTTTTCTTCCTCAGTCCATTTCTGCAAGGCTGCCATGTTCTCGTAGTCTATCAGGAACTCCGTAATGTTTGCCCCATAGAAGGTAAGTTTTTTCTTGGCATCCGCAAGATACCCCTGATTCTTATTCAGAGCTCGGGTGAGGGTGGCTACTATCCTCTTGAGACACCCTCCGGAGCTCCCCGCTTCACCGACCGTACTGGTCCCTTCTCCTTCCTTGGTATCCCTCTGCTTTTCCCCAGCCTTTGGCGTACCCTCCGGATCAAACCATCCTAACACCCTTTCCTTGAGACTCCAAAGTCCGTCGCACGCCTTGGTTGCTTTCGACGTGGCGGGCAAACGGTTGGTGCCACTGTCTATGGCAGGTGGGGTCGTTGCCTTTTCCGCCTCTACGGCTGGGGAGTCCCCTTTTTCCTTACCCTTCTTACTGGGCGTGCCCCTATGGCTATCGTCCTTCCCTCCGAGCCTGACTTCGCCCTGACTGACCCTGCGCTCTTCTCGTGACCCTTCTCCCAAAAGGTCTCCTTCGTTTCCAGCCATCATCTCCTCGATAAGCCTTGCCTTATATTCTGCGGTCCGTTTTTCTATTTCTGCCAGCTTACGACGTGCGTCCGAGACTTTCGTTTTCTTGGGTGTGGTTCCGTCAGAATTTCGAGGACTCGTCCTGCCGTTGTCCCCTTTTCCCCTGCTTTGCTGGGGTCCTCTTTTGCTTCCCCCGGCTTTCCCCGAACTTTCCCCTGTCGAAAGGTCCTTCTCGTCTTCCCTGGTCCCCTCTGGTTTTGCCGACTCTCGATCCCTTAACGACCCTTCGTTTCGTTCCCCGTCTCTATCCGTGCCCTGACTCCCCTTGTTCCGCAACCCTTCGGCCTCCTCTTCTGACTCCATCTCTTTACCTACCCTGCACATGGAATTTTTTTTTTTGCGAAACGACCGGTTGTTCATGGCTTCCCCAGTTTCCGGGCCCTAAGGTCCCCTTATTCTTACTTATTTCCATGTTTTGCCGTCTTACAGGGCGCCGTTCTGTCTTTCTTCTGCCGGAAGGCTCGCTGCCGAGGTTTGGCGTTTCGTCACCGCCGTGCCCCGGTTCCTTAGGGCGGTGTCTGAGGCTAGTGGCTCTCCACTCGAGGGTAGCCCTTTTGACTTCCTGACACCCGGATGCCCCAGCGTCCTTCAGCGCGGATGGTCTTCCCAGTTCCCTCTTGCCACGACCTCAGGTAGGGCGGAACTTCGACCACTACTCCCTTGCTGACAACTAGCTTCTCATTCCGTTTTTCCGCCTTTTACTTTTTCCCGGTACTTTTTTCTCACGCCGGTCCCTCAGGTCTGTCTCGCTCATCTGGTTCTTCAAACAAATCGGCTACCTCTGCAAGATAGTTTTATCCCATTTCTATCTCCCTAATAATTATTGGTTCATATTCCTCAAACGCCATGCGTGGTAACCCGAATATCAGGATTTCGATGAGTTCGAGTAGTTCACGGGCCTAGTTTCCCCAAAACGGCCCGTGCCTAACTTACACATTGTAAAACATTCCCGTCGACTGCGGACGAAAGTAGTGGTTCCAGACTAAAGTCGACTCCACCAGGCTTCTTGCCCTCGAGAGGTTGCCAAATACCAAGTCCACCATGAAACGAGGCACTCGGCACCGCAATCCCGTCATCGGGGCCCTAAACTCTCTCCATCCTCCTACCTCCACCCGGGTTCTCAGTCCCACGTTCCTTCTTCCTCGCACCTCCTGGCCTATCCGGTCCACTATCCTAGTAGCTCTTTGGAAGATTGGTAACAGCCCATGCCCTAGTGCCAACTCCGTTCCTAGCATGTGCCATCCGACCTCCGACAGGTATAAGGTTCCTGTCACCTTCAGATCGGTATACAGGTCGTCCCCTGGTCCCCTATCGAACCTCATCCCACTCCATAAGCACTCTAACATCATGAACGCCTGGTCCCTTCCCAAGGTCACAACTCTCGATTCAGTATCAATCCCTCGGACCATGTAGCTTGCCGGGAGCGATACCTACCATCCGCCTCCACTTTCCATGGGCGGCGGAGGGTGCGTGGGCCGTCGTGACATCCGGCCGCGTCTCATTGCCATCGTTGATTAGCGGTCCCCTGCACAGTTTAAACAACAAGCGAGCTTACTTATTTCATCCATTCTTCGGCCCTTACCCGGGCAACTTCCTGGTCCCTAACCCGATATCCTTTTCCCCCTTTTGTTTCCTCCCTCTTTTCTTACCACTTTTATTGGTCCGTCCCTACTTCCATTGGTTCATACAGGCGGTACAGGTCGTCTACGTAAGTCATTCCCCGGCTTACCTCTTGCCGAACAACGCCCCATAGGACCTCGTCGCTAACAACCGGAGCCCTTGGTCTGGTGGTAAATACGGCGCGCAGGATTCGCAGTACCTCGTACTTCTGCTCACCGCTGAAAGGCCCCATCTCCAGGATGGCCCGGTAATACTCTCGGTGGACCACCGCGTCTTCAAACGTCAGGTTGGCGAGGTCGGCTACTGCCCGCTTGACAAGCTCCAACCCGCCTAGCCTTTTTAGTAAAAAGGGCGACAATCTCATCCGAATGTTCTCACTAGGCAATTGGAAACTCCCGGCCATGGCTACTCTAAGGTTCACCGTCACGTCATCAACTTCCGGGTCCGCGAATTTGAACCCTGCCTGCCACACTAGCTGCCATGCCCCCTCGAACGTACTTAACGGATCTTCCCCTGACGCCAACAAAACTCCGAACGCTCGCCACCCATCATCGGACATATACAGCCATCCTTCCGCACGCACATGTTCTCGCGGGTCCGGGCTCCACTCGCCATTTTCACCCGCGCCATTCAACCCTTGTCACCAAGTAAACCGTGCCTTCCATGAACTCGAACCCGACCCAGTCCACCACCGGGTGCCAGCCCTCGCTCGCAGCAGGCAGACTAATTTTTACTCCACCAGCCACATCCCTTGGCGGCTCAATGCCCAGCAGACGGTCCTCAAGGAACGTCCTTCTTCGTGTCATTCCGCGCCTGTCCTTGGTCTCCTTATCCCGCAGTCTGTAATGAACCCTACAATGGCCAGACATCCCACTCCCTTATCTCAATAGTATTCCACTCTTGCGTGGCCTGCGGCTTTCCCTGCTCCTAGTCGAACCACAGTACCTCGAACAGCTTAAACACATCATCCACATAGCAAGGTGTCGCTGCTACCTCCCGGCGGATTATAGCCTCCATAATTTCCGGAGCTACCTCTAATTGGTCGTACCTATCCATATTCAAAATGATGAGGACCTCCCAAGCTCTATCGCCATGGAAAGGCCCGTACTTCAGTGATGTTTTATAAAATTTCTCTGACAACCATGTATAGTCTATGTGTATCCGTTCTATAATGCCAGCCACTTCCTCAACATGGTAAAAACCCCCAAACCAGTCCACTATGAACTCGGGGACACAAATCCTCTTTCGCAGGCAGGGCGGCCTGAATTATTTCCATCCCCCCATTACGACCCTACTGTGGACTTCATCCCATCCCTTATTGGCAAACCTCTCCCCCGCCTTCCGAGTCCTCGCCTCTGCTCCCTCCAGATGCCACATCGGATTTTGCCCTGCCGCTAGTGTGGTGCAGAACAGATGCCACCCCTGTTCCGACAAGACGACCGTCCCAACTGATTCCACCTTTTCCTTCTGCGATATCTTCCCATCCATCTTCCTCCCTAATGGGGTTCTAGATGCGTTCTATCCACAAATACGACAGTTCCGGTGCGATCTCAAGCCCGACCCAGTCACACGTCGCTCCTCTCCACTCACATTCCGTCGGCAGGGGCATTTCTACTCCACCTCTAATTCGCCTCGGTTCCCACCCTTTGAACGTGCAGTCCCACACCCGGGCCATCGTTCCCTACCTGCACATAGCCGACAACCCATTCCCCGGGTAAGTCCCCCCCCTTTCAGAAGTCCCAATCTTCCATCTCGTCCTCGTCCTCATCATCACTGAAATCCTCCTCCCCATCAACGAGAAACTCTTTCAGCCCTTCTAGGAAGGTCTCCCCTACTGCCACACTTCGATAGATTATCTGCCAGTGCACTGAACTAGGTACAAAGACATCATCCGCGCTGAGGAGGTTCAATACCTCTGCTAATTCCTCCGCCCAGTTCCCTCTAAAACGACCCCATTTCTACTGACAGCCTAAAGAAGTCATGCCGAGCGCACTGGTACAGCCTCAAGCGCGTCATTGACCGGCATATTTGCTCCAACCTATCCCTGGTCCTGAAGACCGCATCCACCAGAAACGGGGGTAGTACGCACCTCATCGTCCTAAGGGGTCGTCTCATGTTCCCCCTGTCCCCGAGCTCCACTTGCACCTCTACTTTGTCCATTTCCATTTTCGCCCGCTGACATGCCGCCCATACCACTTCTCGTTCTGGTTGTCTAAACAACTGGTTCGGTGTCGTGCCCAGTACTAATCCTATTACCATCGCATTTTCCATCTCCTGGGATAGGTAGACCCACCCACGGGTTTCCACACCCACGGGTTTCCACCGTACCCCGGAATTCTAAGTCCATCAAGCTCGGCGACAGTCTCATTAGGCTGACCTTAGTCCAGATTGTCTCAATCCAGAGGAACGCGTCCTTTTCGTCCAGCATCACAGTTTGGTAGGCTGGCTCCAGGTCTGTCCACGTTCCTTCTTCCGGGAGGACGACAAATACCCCCTCCTTTACGTCTGTTGGCATTTCCGGACCACTAGAATAAGCAAGAGACGAGAACCACCGCGCCATTCCGTTTTCCGGCTCCGGTTCTGTTTTCATAAGAGAGCACCACACGGCCCCCTCTTGGTCAGGCTAGTCCCCGCTTAACTCTAGATGAGCATTATTCCAGACCCCTCATCCGGGTCTCCCTAATTTTTCCTACCCATTTCTCGAGCACCATTGTCCCCGTCGTACTCCCAATTGGCCATCCCCAACCGGCGTTCCTTTTCTTGGTTCCATTTCCTTTCAACTCCTATCCTGGCTCCTTTCCATCTTCTCTCACTCTTGCGGACTTAGGAGGGGACGGGAATAGACTTAGAAAGCTTGGTCCCATCCCAACAATCTCAAGCAAACTTTACAGAGGGAGACATAAAAGAAGAAAATCAGGCAAGCCTCGCACACATGCCGATCATCTCCTCACCGGCCTTTTTCCCCAAAAGTGGTCTCTCCACTGTTACTATCGGCAGAGTTTTATCCCGTACCTCAAGCACAGCTCAACCGTCGCGAGCGCGGTACCCAAACTCCAGTGGGGGGGTTCTTGCCCAGAATACCCCATCCCGTCTTGCCGCTCTTGTACACCCCCGTTGGCAAAGGGAATCACCCCGTGTACTCGGTGGGGACAGAAATCGGCTGTCCGGGCATTCACATCCATCGGTCCGATAAGAATCAGCCTTTCCCAAACCATGCTATGAGAAACTACTAATCGTCTCCGAGGCTCCGTCTTTGTCCGTATGCAGTGGTACTCCCCGCGCCAGTCAACAGGCTAAGCCCCACCTAAGGAGACGTTTCACACCCCGCCCGGTAGATCATTGGGCCAAAGCCCTGTCACCGCTCAAACGAGGATGCTACTAATCGCCCGGCGTGACAAACTCCCGTCCGACAGCTCGGTGGCCGGACCTCCACACACAAACACACGGCAACCTACAAAAAGAGAGCGACGTTTTGCAACCCACACCAGCCGGTGCAGACCCATCCTTTCCTTCCGAAGTTGCAGGACGCTCAATTCCCCTTTCAAACAATCACAAGTCCCAACTGGGACACACATAATGCAAGTGTATTTCCCTTGGTGCACCCAGCGCTTCCTACCCATACCTCACAACTTCTCTCTCGGGACTGTGTATGCCACTCACCCCTAATTTCCATACACAGTGTCCAGTTCCTTTTCGTGAGCATCTTCAAAGGTGAGCTAGTTTTCTTTGGAGTCTAGCAGCTCCCTTCATTCCCTTATCTTCGCTTGTGTGTCCGTTCATAGGGCAGGATTGTTCCTTCTCGATTACCCATTATGTTCATATGAGGTTCCTTCAAGCATTTTAAGTGCGGTGCAAGGAGCCCGCTGGGCTCCGAAAAAGAGAGGAGAAGGCACCCATGTCGGTCGGATCACTCCGCCGCGGGATTTTCATCGGAACCCGGACTAGCCCGGAATTCCAACCGCCTGCCAGGTAACCGGAGCCCTTCTTTCACACGAAGAGGAATGGTCGACCTGCGGCTTGCCCAAGGCTTCCCCGGTCCGACGAACATCAGCCCGAAGGACGGAGGACTAGAGTTGCCCCACAAGGGAGACGACTAACCAAGTGTGTAGCATGCATGTTATTCCTCCAGGCCTGACCTTGCTATGCGCCCAGCTGCCCTCAAATCTGATTCTCTCAAGGGATAGAGCATACACAAGTCCTCGTCCCTTTGTCTTCGGTTATGTACACGGTCATGCGTCGGGCGCCCCCCTCGAGATCGCATGGGTCAGTTTAACCCATACCCGGCACCTCCACCATTTTGTAGGGGCCGTACCCTGAAGGACTTTCGAGCCTGAGTCGACCCCACTGCGGGTCCCATTTCGCTCGACCCGCCCACGCTCACGCTCAGGGCGCGGGTCGTTCGTCCCAGGGGCATCCCCACCTAGTGCTATAAGATGGATGGGGATGGGCCTTTTGCGAGAGGGCTTGACATTGGGGGATGTAGCTCCGCTCTCGCGTTAGATGGTAGCTCTTTGATTACTCGTGGCATTTTCTCGATTCACTTAGGTGTGACCAGGCAATTGCTCCTTCCAATACACAAGCAGTCCAAGGAGTTCGTTGAGAATTCGTCTTCTTTCATGTGCAGGCCAAGCGTCATCCATTGGGCCACACACCTTTTCGCTATGGTGGATGGGTGTAGGTGGGGGTGGAGGAGGAAGGTGCAAGGTGGTTGGCTATGGTGGATGGGTGTAGGTGGAGGTGGAGGAGGAAGGTGCAAGGTGGTTGGCTATGGTGGATGG